CTCTTGTTACCTCAGAGCATCTGTAGGCGTGCAAACATGGGTAACTTGGGCTGAACGTACAAATCACAAGTTTGATTTGTTCTTCACAGGCACAGAGGAAAGATGGGAAGGGTAACTTGACCCTCCTGAAGTGCAGAGGGAGAGAGCAGGTGACTTCTGTTATCCTCAAGCCTCCTGTGTTTCTGTGATTCTCTGCATGGAAAGCATGTTAATAAACATGGCAGGAGCCTTTTTTTTTTTTTTTTTTTTCATTTTGTTAAAAACCTTTCACAGTGAATGTTTTCTAAATTGGCTAGGGGGTGGCAAGGAACCCTGTTAGTACCTAATCCCCCAGCCCATCCTCTCAGCAAATGGCTTGTGAAAGTCATTAATTTCACTGTAATTGATTTAAACGTTGCTCAGGAGGAGGAAAAATTAAGGAAACCAATGCCACTCTGAATAGAGAATTATGTATTCTCAATTTTCTGTCAAATTATCTCCCCACGTGCCTGTTCTGTGCTGGTTGCTGAGCAAACACCGTGCCAGGGAGTCACACAGCAAATCCCAGCTCCCAGAACCTGTGCTGAGCTCCAGCAGCAGGGCAGGAGGCAGGAGAGCCTGCAAAAGTCTTTGCCTCCAGCAATTCACATCTGGCTGGGTGGCTCCACCAACAAAACATGGGCACATGAGGCTTTGGAAAGTGGCCATGGAAAAGCACAGAACTGGACCTGCTGACAGCCTCCTTGAAAGGGCAGTGCTTGTGGTGGAACTGGGCTTTTTATGAGGAGCCACCTGTTCCCCTTGCATTACCTCATTGCTACTACTGTATCCCCAGCTGTAAAGTACTTTTAATTAAAATTATTTATTGCCCAGTAAAATTTGTCCCCTATTTTTGGTGTATCTTAGAAGATAACATTTTTTCCTTATCACTTCATCACTGGGCTTACACTTCAAAGGACTGTACCCGTGGATGTCACTGTGATCAGAATAGAGTGTGTGGATTTGAGCTGAGCAGTGACGTACAATCAATGTATTTTTAAGCTGAGCTTAGCTTTATTTTGCATTTTTATTTATACCTCTGACAACTGAATGAGTGCCCTGGCTCCAAGCCATATCTCTCAATAATAATGATCTTTTCTTCAGATTCTTGGGAAATGGCTTCTCCACTGTATTGTGCATGTTCTCTTGACATCTTAATGCAGTTTCTAGGTCACCGAGCTAAGAAAAGACTATAGGTGCCACTAAAGCCTCCTTAAAGGAGAACCAGCCACAGGCTGGGCCACATTGATGGCACTTAGAGAAATCAATTTCTGTCATGTGCCACCTTCAGCTGTGCCAGATCAGTTAAAGCTGGAGCAGTGTGGTCAGGTTTCACTCCATCCTCAGGACTTGTGATGCTCCTGCCCTGGGGCCACCCGTGGTGAGTGGATGTTGCTCATGGATGCATCAGCTGTTGCAGGTCTGTGCTGGGAAGCTGAGGGACTCCCTGCAGGTCTCAGCTGGCTGTTGGGCAGGGGGAACTCAGTGCTTCAGGCTCCTGTGAAGGCTGAGGGCTGAAAGCAGAAGCTCTGGGAGGTGAAGCTGTCTCAGTGTGCAGGTGGAGGTTGGGCTTGCCTTTGCCAGCCTGGAGAAACGACTTCATCCCCACTGAGGGAGTTCCTGTGGAAGGAGCTGCCATCCAGAGGGAGGGAGGGTGTGTGTCCCCACAGCTCCAGCCGAGGAGCTCCTTCCCCAGTGCCACTGCTGGAGCTGGCTGTGCCCAAGAGAGGCAGGACAGCTGCAGTGCTCCCCTGCTTGTGTTGTTGGATCCATATCCTGGGAGGAAAGCTCAGCCCCTCCAAACTGGGGCTGGGTTTCCTTGTGTGGAAGCAGCATTGGTGAAGAAAACCAAAAGAAACTGGAAGCTAACAACAGCAAACTGTCCATGAGCACCCCAAGATGTTAGAAGGACTCTGTTCCTTAATATGCTGCAAGTGCTCCAAGGAGATGGTGCAGGATCAGGGCTCTGGTAGCCCCAAGCCCTCACTCTCTGCTGCCCTGTGTGGAGCAGTAGTCCATGGACTGGGTGGAACAGTGAGAAACTGAGCTCTGGCCAAGCAAAACACAGAGAAAATGCTCAGTGTGGTTCCTCTTCTTGCTCTCTTACCCTTCTTTTCCTCAGTTCACCTCTGCAGCTTGTGCCAAAGGACTGCTGCTGCCAACAGGACAGGCTGGAATCATTCTCTGGGGACAGGGACTGGAGCCTGGTGTCTTGCACCTGCAAAAATTAACATTTATCCTTTCTGCCAAGAGATTGGGCTGGGCACTTGACACCTGCCAGATTGAACAGAGCAATGGCTGGTGATGGATGGTCACCTGCTCATCTTCAGAGAGCCTGTGGGACAGGGAGCAGGGGCCAGGCTCCCCCTCCTGCAGTGTCCTCCAGGAGACAGAGCCACCTTGTGAGAGTGACAGACTGCCAGTGCACCCTCTGGCACCCAGAAACTGAGGTGCACAAGTACTTTTTTTCCTCCCACACTCTCAGGAGTTGAAACTGAGCTCAGGTGCTGTTGTTTCCTGCACCCACTGCCCCAAGGCAGGCGGCAGCATCCCAGGGGAGCTGCAGGGGCATGGACATGGGAGATGTGGCTGGTGGCAGTGTGGCTGGTGACAGTGGCATGGGGAGGAGGACAGAAAGCAGCTCTCTGCAGCATGGGGCCTTGGAGATACTTTTCTAAACCAAAATCTGTCTCTTGCCTCTTTCAGTGCCTCCCATGGGCTCTGGCAGGGTGTCAGTAGCTTTGTGTCCTTGCTGGTGGCTGTCCTCTCTGCCGGGGGGGGCTGGCCCACACCACCTCAGGGGTGCTTCCTGCAGGCAAAGCTGTGCTTCTGTTTTCCAGGGCATTTCATCTCTCTCCACTCCAAAGGTCTGCACAGAGCAGCCAGGGATGTGTGTGGGAAAGGCAAATGGTGCTCTGGTTCCCTGGGGCTGTGGCAAGCCCCACGTTTCAGGACTGAGCTGTGCCCCAGACCCCAGTTTGTGCAGTGGGAGGTGACAGTGCCCCATGGCCACAACAGGATGAGCAGGGATGGGCTGTGCCAGGACAGCACAGGGGCCAGGTTGTGTTCAGGAGCTGATGGCCTGTGCAGGATACAAGATGGGTTGTGAGTGTCACCATGTCATGCTGGTGCTTGCTCTGCCCGGGGAAGGGGAGGTCACAGCTCCTTTCCCATCTGCATCCCTGGTTTTTGTGGGGGTGCTCTGGTTTCAGAAGGTCTGAGCTACAGCCTGTGCTAGCATGCACCGTGCTCTCACCTGGTGTGTTTCAGGCACGATTCAGCCACGGTTATTCAAACCCTGAGGTGAAAAATAAGCTCCTCCTTTGTTTGCCTGTCCCTGAGCTTTGTTGCACTGCTGAGGCAGTGGAGGTTGCGCTGCTCCTCCTGTGCCGGAGCGTGCAGTGTGTGCCGTGTGGCAGGACACAGCCTCCATCTCCTGGCGGCACAGCCACATGGCAGCTCTGCCTGTGGCCCAGGACAGGCCCAGAGCTGGCCCAGGAGGCTGAGGGAGGCTTTGGGGTCTGGGGGGTCCCTGCCAGGCTCAGCCTCTCCAGCCACAGGTTTGTCCTCAGCCCCCTTTGGGCTGCCAGGCCAGGGAAGCAGCCTCTGTTTGGGTTCTCTCTCTGAAACTTAAAAATGTTTGTCCTCATCCTGGAGAAGATTCTCACAAGGTTATTTTAGAGCATTCCTGCCCAGTGAAGCCTCAGCACCATCCAGTATCTGTTTTCCAAGCTTTACTGGAAGCAAGGTGCCACCACACAGGCAGTTTCAGGAGGGGGAAGCTTAGGGATTTTCTCTGATACAACCTCTGGTGCTGGCCTCAGCATGTTCACTCTCCCAGGGGTACCTCAGAAGTGAATCCTCCTGGAGTCCCCCAGAAGGCCACATTCAAAGTACTTTTCACAAATAGTAAAGAGAGTTCTCAGCACTGCAGCTGCAGCTGGAGGCCCAGAGAGTTTTCCTTTCAAGATTTGCCCTTCTCTCACTTTTCTCCCCTCTGGGTTCCTTGTGAGTGTCAAGTATCTGGAACCAAGGGAGACTTCTTACAGACATTCATTTTCTCTTTTTTAAATTATTTTTAAAGATTTACAAGGGAATTGCAAAGACAGAAAGCGACCACAAAAGAGAAAGAACAAGACAGGGGAAGGCGGAGCTCTGCCAGCATCCCTGCCAGGCTGTCACTCACCCCTCAGGGCACTGCCAGCCCTTGCCCACGGCAGCTGGGGGGCCACTGGCCCATGGCTGGTGGGCTGGGGGGACGCTGCTGTGCTGCTGAGGCTGTGGCCCTGCTCTCTGGGTGGTTTAATTAAAGGTGGCAAAGCCACCTCCAGGGTCCTGCAAAGAGCCATCTGCACATGCAGGGCCTGTGAGCTGCTGGCACAGCGTGGCTTGGCCCAGGTCTGCCTGTGCTTCCTGAAGTGCTCACAGAGAGCAATCACTTCCCTGTGCCAAGTGCTCTCAATTGCCCATCATTTTGGAATTGTGCAAGTCTTCCCCCAGGACTATTCTCCTTTCCAGAGATGCCAGCTGGGAAGGTTCTGCATCCAGGGCCTCACTGTGCATCCCCCCCGGGAACCTGGAGGTGCAGCTTGTGTGGGACAGCTGTGTCTGCAGGCCAGTGGCAGCAGACCCTCGCAGAAGGTGGTGGCACTGATGGCAGAGCCTCCAGGGGCTCACATGCACCGTGCCAGGTCCAGGTTACAGCTGGTGCAGAGCCCGAGATGTGCCCGTGGCTGGAATAGGGATGGTGCTCACAGGATTTCCCAGAAGCCTGGGCTCACACACAGCCTGAGGGACTGACAGCTGCCCCTGAGGAGGGAGAGTGGGGCAAGGGGGGTAGGGAGAGGGGAAGTGCCTTTTCCTGGTCCAGTACCCAGGGGCTGTGCTGCCTCTCCGACCACAGCAAGCTCCTTCAGCCCAGGGAAGGGGGGAGCTCACCCCACCCCTGAGCAGTCTGTGCTGACCCTGCCCTGTCCCCCCAGGTGTCCCTCAGCCAGGAGTGCACCCGTGCCATCATGAAGCTGCTGTACTGCCCGCACTGCCGGGGCATGGCCAGCGTGAAGCCGTGCAACAACTACTGCCTGAACGTCGTCAAGGGCTGCCTGGCCAACCAGGCCGACCTCAGCACTGAGTGGAAGTACCTGATGGGTGAGATGGCCTCTCTCTGCTGCAGCACTGCTGCCTCCCACCCTCCAGCTCCCTGGGGCTGGGTTTGGCCAGTAAAGAGGCTGGTGGGGGGCTCAGGGAGGTTGTTTGCAGTGGCAAAGCTCTCGGTCCTCCTTGTGCCCACACAGCATCGCCAGCAAGCTCCTCTCTCTTTCTCACACTGTGCATGCACAGCTGGAGTCACCTGGGACCTGAGGGAGCCTTGGTGTTTGTCTGGGCTCCCAGAGGGCAGCACTGGAGGAGATGGCCTTGGGCTTGGCCTTGTTTTCCCTTGCCTTGGCAGCTGCTGGCTGGCCAGCAAAGCTGCCAGCTCAGCCCCAGCTGCAGCCCCCAGGCTGCCTCGGGGTTGGCATTAAGAACAAAAACCCCACCAAAGTCAAGGAGTGTCACCTGCCTCTCAAGGGACACTGCAGCAGATGGGGAAGCAGAGCAGGTGCTGCCAGGAGAGGTGCCCAGGCCAGTTGTACCACAGCTAACTGGAAATGCTCTGTGGGAGCAACTGGGAGCCTGCTGCAAAGGAGGGGCAGGAATTGTCCCTTGCCCAGGGGTTCAGTGGCCCTTTGGCCTTTCTGACCAGAGCCAGGCCACTGTTCCTGTCACTCTCTCCTGGCAGGATGGCAGCCTCTCTCCTGAAACACCATTTTACAGCTTTCCTTGATTGACAGGGAAGCAATTCCATGTGCATTTTGCATTTATTCTGGCTTCCTCTTCCCAAGAGACACTGTCAAGGGGTGACAGCTAGGAGGAAATTGGAGCTTCTTTCAAACTGCAATTTTACATTTCAGTGTCAGAGGTCACAAACTGATCAAGGACGGCAGCAAATTGTGGAGTCAAAGGCAGCAGTTCAGTGGCAGTGTCCTTCCTTCACCCTTCTCCAGGCCCTTCTGTGTAGCCAGGGATGATTTTGTTACACTAAATACAGAGCTACACTTTCAGTTTGACAAATTAGGGCAGGTCAAATTAAGGGAAATTTTTATAATAAGTGGTTCAAATATAATTTATCACTATTTAAGGGTGCAACCTTTGATTTAAATGTCTGTATCTCAAGATTAGTGCTCTGCAAGGCACTATTTGTCTGAAATACACAGTGTCAAAGATGACATCACAACCCCTGAGTGGCAGCAAAATTAAACTGCAAGCTCTTCAGTGTTACGGGACATTTTATTTCCCACAATACAAAAAAAGTTACCAAAATTTACCCCCTTATATTGAGAGCATATAGGCTGTCCTTGCTTCAGACCCAACTGGAGTGTTGAGAACTGTCTCTGGGGGTAGGCAGAGATTGGTAATTCTTTGTAAGCTGTGGGAAATTGATTTATAGACAATTCTATAGAGTAATCCAACCATCCAAAGTCCAACAGTAAGCGAAGCACAGTCCCAAAGCAGCCATCCAAGCAGGAACTTCCAGGCAGGTGGGAATGCTTGGACGTCAGAGCTTTCCAAGAGGAGCTGAGAGCTGAGGCAGCCCTCAGTCACTCCCTGTCCTGTTTACCAGTTAGCTGTGGGCATACTGATCTGCTTCTGTACCTGTATAGCCTGCTCTCTCCCTGGCTGTTGTCCTTCCAGAGGTGAAGGTGAGAACAATCACTGCTTTTCTCCCTCCTTCACTGCCACAGAAACTATTTCCCACATCCACTACCTCTGGCACCTTATTGACCCCAATTCTCCCACCTTCTCCTGGCTGCAGTGCTTTGCTGAAGACATGCACTGAGTTAGGTGGGTGAGGGCCAAGTATGGCTCTGTTTCTTAATAATTCTGCACCAGTTTTCTGGTTTTCCTTTCTGTATCACCCAGGGAAATGCTGGTTACTTTAGGTGGACACTCTACCCAAAGTGTATTTGCCATTTGCAGGAAGTTCCTTTGCCACAGAGAGTGGCTTTACCGACATAAAGTAGGGAAAACAAGTGTGCACCTGGGCAGTGGTGGAAATGGAGAGGTGTCTCCCAAGGGCCCAGCAGCTTCTCCCAGCCAGCAGGAGCTGATCTCTGCCCTGGTTTGCACAGAGAGGTGATGAGAGCTGTCTCTGCCCTGTTCACCAGACTCCCTGATCGGGGTGGCCGATCGGATCGATGGGCCCTACAACGTGGACACGGTGATCGGCACCATCCACGTGAGGATCTCTGAAGCCATCTCCAACCTGCAGGAAAACAGAGACTCCATCACCAGCAAGGTAGGAGCGTGTGCCTGGGCCTGCCTGAGGATTCACCATGTGCAGCTGCCAGGACCAGGTGCTCTTTTGTGCTCACTCCTCAGCTGAACTGGGAGAGATAAAGAGGGAAAGAGAGAAAATGCCCACTCTTTTAATGATAAATTACCTTGTTTCCTACCACCCATCTGACACAGGCAAAAACCTTTGCAGGTGTTTCCAAATACTTCTCCCTGCCACATCCAGCCAGCCTCCTTTGGGTACAGGCACAGGAGGTGGGACTGCATTCACAGTGATGGAGGAGGGATGTGCCATTTGCAGTCAGGGCTCTCTGTGCTGAAGAGTTCTGAGATGTTTTGGCTGAGCTGAGGCATTTACACAAAGTGCACAGCCCCCAGTGACAGGAGGCAGCTGCTCTAACCTGTCTCGAGGGGATCTTCTGCAGTGGAAACACGGGGCTATCAGGTGGTACCATGGGACAGAGCTGCAATCTGGCAGTCCATCTGGAGAGTACAAACCAGGCTCTCCTGAGGCTCACCTGCCTTCCAAGAAGTATGTATCATGAAGGTCTCTTCTGTCTGTCTTCTATTTTTAGTATATTTATCCACTTAACCACAATCACCTCTGTAGCTGCAGGTAAGAGAAGCTTTGGGAACAAAAGCAGCCCTCTAGGGCTCCTGCCTTTTGCCCAGACACTCCCCAGGTCCTGCAGCTATCCCACAGTCAGGGCAGAGATGCAGATGAAAGAAGTGGGACAGGTTCTAACTGGGTTTTGGATAAGAGAAGGGCCAGAAGTGTTGCTTGGCAAACAGGAATTCACTGGCACACATCAAAGCACTGACAGCCGTGTGCATCCAAGTTCTGGGTTAGGTTTCTTTTCTGACATGAAAGGCAATGTTCTTTCTGCCCTCCTTAGGTGAGACTGAGGCTTTCCACATAAAAGCAAATCCATGGTGTGGGAAAACATAGCATCATCTGCAAAGAAAGGTGTTCTCAAGGGGAATACAGTAAATCTGGTGAAATGAAAGAGGCTAAACAGTCCAACTGGTGTTTGATTGGAGCAACCAAACATGTTTGATAAGCTCCTCAGTATGACCTGGTGACCAGGTGAATGGAGCACTCTGCTGGTGGCACAGCTAGCAGAGGACAGGAGCTGCCAAGCTCTGAGCTCTGTTTTTGAGTATGGCAAAGCCATCAGATCAAGGATGTTGTTGTCAGCTGAGTTCAGGACTGTCCCATCTCAGAGCCAAGGGCATGGCCCAGGCCAAGGGCACTGCTGTTAAGGTAACCTCCCAGTCTGAGCGGTCAGGAGGCACTCTGCAGCCATGCTGCCACCATCAGAGGCTGTCACTGCAGCCCCTGGGAGGGGCAGGGCACAGCCCCGGGTCCCTCCGTGACTCCTGCACACCCCACTCACAGCCAGACCAGGTCTCCTCACTGGTTCCATCCCAGGTTTCCCACGGCAGTCTCAGATCTCTCCATCCATAAAGCAATATATGCACAGCACAGTTACACAAAAAAAGCTTGAGCTGGTGCCTGTGAGGACAGCAAAGGAACCCCTGGGCTTTTATCCCCTCACAGTGGAAGCATGCAGGAGCCTCACCAGCTCTCTCAGTGCCTGGGCACCGGCTGGTGCCACAGGCCCCGTGCCCTTTGTTATGCAGAGGGTGGGCAGTTCACAGCACTGGAGCTGCACCGGAGCCACCTGCAAGGAATGCACTCCTCCACACAGAATGCCTTCTTCCAGAGGAGCCAGGAGTGCCACCCTCAGTCCCAGGCTGTCCTGAGACCTGAGTAAAGCTCTAAAGAAGCACTTGTGGTACTGAGCCTTGTGTTCAGCACAGCACAGAGCCCTCTCCCTGCTTCCTCACACTTCCCTTTCTCCCTGTGGCTCTCTTGGATTTCAGGCACCAGGAGCTGTCAGAGGCTGCAAATGCCTATTTGCTCTCACTATTCAGGGAGCAGTGACCCCTCAGTCTGCTGGAGCTGTGTTTTCTCCAGCAGCAGTTTGCATTTCTCACCTGAAGCATTTAGAGTGGCCAGGGTTCGCCTTGGTACCACACTGTGCTGGAGCTGCCACTGTCCTGGGCATGTCCCCAGACTTTTATCTTCTGGGAAGGGGCCAGCAATGGGCCAGCAAGGTACAACAGTTAAACCAAGGCTTTGTCTTGGTAGAACCAAGTTGAAAATACTCTACATGCAATTTTCAGGGTGGGTTTTTTGCACAGCAAACGAGACCAATGAACACATTGGCTTGGTGCTGAAGTGCTGGAGTCATCAGATCCATCTGCTCAGCGGGACAGGGCAGCCCAGGAGGGGCCTTTGGGGGCTGAGTGTCCCTCAGACACACGGACAGTCACTCCTGGCCAGGTCAGCACTGGGCTGCCAGAATGCAGGAGCCAGCACGTTCAGCAGGTGCACGAGCTGTGGCAGCAGAGCTCTGCCTGTGGCCCTGCCTCCTCTGCTCTGAGGGGACACCAGGCAGGGCCACGTTTATCAGCAGCTTCTGACCGCTCCCTGGAAACCACAACAAGCTGGGAGCTCTCTTTTTAAATCAGGGGGCTTCCTTTGTAAAGGCTGCCATATTCTGACTCAAAGTGACAGTGCAAAGTGCCTCCTGACCTCTGATGCTTTGTCCAGCCTGGCCCTCTGAGCTCTCCTGCCCAGTGAGGCTCAGCTGCCCAGCCCTGGTGATGTGCAGCAGAGGTGTTGCTGCCTGGACAGGTGATGCAGACTGGGAGAGGCAGGTGTTTCCAGGACACCCTTCATCTCACCCTAGAGGCCAGGTATGAGGATTTGTACCTTCCAAGTGCTTCTGCTGCCCTCTGGCTACAAAGCTCACCTGGGCAGGTAAATAGGATGATAGGAGGTACCTGCAGATAATAGATGAATCAGTTCTGCTGCCTCATTTGCCCCTGAAACATCCAACCCGACAGATTGTGGCACATTGCTGTCCTTGAAGTGCCCTGTTGGAGGCACATTGATTTCCCAAGTGGGGATGTTGATTGCAGGAGTCATGGGGATAGTCCCACCTTGGTCTGTTGGCCATCAGTGAAGCTCCCATGCTCTGTACTCTTGAAGCCCACACCACTGATGTAATGAGTGTGAGCAACTCCCATCTTTTTCTTCCCAGGATTTTATTTTCCAGTCATAAGAAGAACAGATAAAATGCTATAAATAACTTAATATCAATATTGGTGACTCATCCAAAAACGTGTTACTGCTGACTGTTTTGCTTGATAGTGGTAACCAAAACCAGTTACAATGTGCTGAAAACACATCTGGCACTAGAAACTAAGCCAGGATCTCTGAGAATCTTGGCAATAGGAAGGATAAACATACTTAGGAAGGAAAAAAACCCATAACTGTGGAGTTTTAAATAATTAAAGGAATAGTATCGAAACATGGGATAGAGAGTTTGGTTTATTTTTCAGGTATTCCAAGGCTGTGGAAATCCCAAAATCAGCACAAAAGGCTCGAGTAGTGAGGACAAGAGGAGACGGGGGAAGGTGACATTGGAAGCCAAATCCTCTGCCCAGGCCCTGGAGATGCTGGTGGGTTTGTGTCTGGAGCTGGTCCTGGGCCCTGCAGGTTGGGTCACACATGCTGGGGCTGCTGAGCTGCACGCCTGGAGAAGATCAGATCATCAAGGGCTGGTGTAACCCACGCAGACCTGCTCTCCTTGCCTCTGCACAGGGCTGGGTCTGTGTTACTGATAATCAATTTCCCAGGGATTTGGTGCCAGACTTACCTGAAAAGGCTCCTAGTCTGGTGGTCTTCTCCTGGTTGGTCTTTGGGTACTGGAACAGTCCTTGGCATGAAACATTTAGGCTTGGGCACTTGGGTTGATGATTGGTTTTTAGGGGAAGGTTGACAATACATCCTGTTTTGCATCAAAACAGATTTTGTGATGGTAGAACAAAAAATATGCAGAATCCTTGTACTTTCCTCCACCCTGGGGCACCCCAGAGTTCCTGTGGCCCTGAGCATCCCCTTTGCTTACAGGTTTTAGATGCCAAAGGGAATCTGACAGCTCTCAAGACATACTGGATCACCTTGCCCAGCAGCCTGTGCAGCAAAAAAGTAATGGCCAGCTCAGCATCAGATGACAAATGTTGGAACGGGATGACCAAGGGCAGGTATGGAGTGGGTCACAGTGCCAGGAGCACCAGTCTGGGCTGAGAGGAAGGGTTTGAAAAGGCACTTACATGTCATCACAGCCAGCCCCACTTGTTCAGAGTGAGCAGTCTGTGCCTGCCCTTAGAAATGCTGCATTTCCACAAAACCTCGTACCTGGGAATGTCAGGCCTGGTGTCATTTTGCTGTGTGTTGGGGGTTAAGCGCTGAAATGCACTCACCATGAAATAACTGTGTTGTTTTCTACTAAGGAAGCTGTTTTGCAATTCCACATGCACTCAGAAGGCAGCAGGGCTGGATTTACCACCCAAGCTCCAGAGCTGCTGCAGAGAATTGCATACACATCCCTCCAGCCACAGCTGCTCTGAAATGCTGGGGGGACATCAAACAGCTACAGAAACAGTTCCTGCCACAGCCAAGGTTAAAGGACTCCTGAAGGGAGAGTGGCAGCTGCTGGACCTGCAGCTTTCTCTTCTTCTCTCTGCAGTCTTCTTGGGGCTTGGCTTTGCCAGCCTGAAGTCAACACCTTCAGTTCTTCCATATTTCACATTGTTGCCAGCAGTGTCCCAGATCTGCCGGAGCAGGAGGAGCAGGGCACTGTGAAGGCAGCTCTGATTAACAGCTCCCAGCTAATTAAGCTTCCCAGGGAGCCTGTTGGTCAGACTGGGCTGGGGCCATTCAGTAGTCCCAGGCTGTCAGTCTCCACGGGATTTAACCAAGCAGGGATTAAAATGCTCCTCAGCCTCCTATATGGACAGACATTTTCCACAGGGGAGTGTCACTGTGGGCCCATTGGTACCAGCCTGAGAGCAAGCCCTCTGTCTTTCCTGAGGAAATCACACCCCATGCTGGGACAGGGGTTCTGCAAGGCCACCCAGCCACCTCCTGCAAGCTGAGACCCCTCTGCTGGGGTCTGGCCATGGCTGCATGGCTTGGCCACCCAGGGAGCTGGGCTGCCCAGCAAACACCAGCTCCAGAGGCTGTTCCATACGTCAGTGGCACTGAGTGCAGCCTCTCTGGGGTTCACAGAGCCTGGATTATCCCTGGTGTCTGTAGGAAGAGCTGAGCTCAGCTGGGGGGAGACATCTAAACCTCCTGCCTTCCTTCCTAGTTACCTGCCTGAGGTGATGGGGGATGGCTTGGCTAACCAGATTAACAACCCTGAGGTGGAGGTGGACATCACCAAGCCAGACATGACCATCCGCCAGCAAATCATGCAGCTGAAGATCATGACAAACCGCCTGGGCAACGCCAACATCGGCAACGATGTGGATTTCCAAGACACGAGTGAGTGGGGCACAACCAGAGAGGTTCAGGGGGGCTGAGGGGGGTCCAGCAGTCCTGCAGCCCGCACAGGTGTCCCTGCAGCCCGCACAGGTGTCCCTGCAGCTCACACAGGTGTCCCTGCAGCCCGCACAGGTGTCCCTGCAGCCCGCACAGGTGTCCCTGCAGCCCTCACAGGTGTCCCTGCAGCCCTCACAGGTGTCCCTGCAGCCCGCACAGGTGTCCCTGCAGCCCTCACAGGTGTCCCTGCAGCTCACACAGGTGTCCCTGCAGCCCTCACAGGTGTCCCTGCAGCCCACACAGGTGTCCCTGCAGAGGCTGCTGCTGGGCCTGGGGCAGGGAGCGGCTGTGGCAGCCTGGCTTTTGGCTTGGGGCTGCTGAGGGGCTGCTTGAGTGCAGACAGTTTGTGGGGTGGCTGGAAGTTGTGCTGTTCCCAGTGCCTCACTGAAACCTGCAGGGCTGTCCCCACTCCCAGCCCTGCTGACAGGGCCATTGCTCCTGTCTGCTCCAGAGTTTCCAGCTGCTGCAGCAAGCGGTGATTAAAGCCAGCAGGAGGTCAGGTGTGAGCTTGTATCCCACCTTGAGGAAGTGGCCAGGGTGGGGCTGGTGGCCAGAGCTCGCCGGGGTTGCAGCAAGGGCAGTCTGTGCTCACCCCACCTCTGTTTCTGTGCAGGTGACGACATGAGTGGCTCCGGGAGCGGGGACAGCTGTCCTGATGATGTCTGTGGCAAAAGACTTTCTAAGAGCCCCAGCACCAGGCAGCCAGAAACACACGCTATTCCCAAGCAGTCTGGACACGGCATCAGTGGGGCCAGCAGCAGATCTTTGCCTTCTGCCTCCCTCCTCCTCCTCCTCTCGGTGGCTGTCATCGCCGCGCAGCACTTGTGGCGGTAACTCACTGGCACAGCCAGGAAACAGACTGAGGGCTTCACTTCGCCAAAACCAACCAACCAACCAACCAACCAAAGGACATATTTAATTCACCTTGGCAAAAAAAAAAAAAAGGAAAAAAAAACAAAAAAGGAGGAGAAAAAGGTTTTCAGAAGGTTTCAGTTGTTTGCTATTCTGGCAGTGCTCGAGCTGTTTTCTTCTTTCTAGGTCTTTCCCCAATGCTGGGCCCTTCTTTCCATACCTCATTGTTTTACTTTTGTTATTGCCACAGACTGGCTCCTGGGCTGAAAGGAGCCTTTGCAGAGGGCTGCAGGGGACCTCGGCCGAGCCCTCGGGGGCAGCTGTGCTGCTGCTCCAGTGGAATATGCAATTGCCCTGCCCCTGTTGCCACGCCGCGGGGAGAGCGGGATCCTCGGCACGGCTCCCGGGCGCTTCAGGGGCTCTTGGGGTGCCTCCTCTGTGCTTCCTAGCTGGGCAGAGATGGCCCTTCACTTCCAGTGCTGCACGTAGGAGCGTGAGCAGGTTTGGTGGGTTGAACTGAAAGAGTTTGGCAGTGGCTGTTGGACCCAAAAATGCAGAACTCGCTTTTTCTTTGGAAAGGTCACAAGTGGGTTTCTTGACTAGAGCTCGTAGCTGATGACAATTTGAAATGTAGGTTTCCTACATCTACGTGACTGGGAATGAGTGTTAGGGGTTGGGGTTTGGGGTACTTTTTCTTTGCATGCTAGTTGGAAAGCCATTTTTTACCCAAGTAACAATGGTCCAATTTCTACCTGCAGTGCAGTACCATTGTAGGTAACAGAGAGATGCAAATGTACACAGTGGGATTCTCTGTGTGACAGACAGTTGTGCTGCCTCCTCCTTCTCTGGCCCCAGACACAGACAGGAATCTGTTTTTCCTTGGTAATGAGACCAGGGACATTTTACTAACTGGAGCTTTGGGACTGGTTGTGCCCCTTCAAGCAGCTGCCTCAGGGCAGAGAGGGGCTGGTGGGGATCACCATGGGCCCTGCCCAGAGCACTGGCTCAAGGCAGCACCCACCAGGGGGAATGTGAGAATGGGAAACATTTTGTTTGGGATTTCTTTTTACCTTTGGTGTTTGTTTCAGTTGTACTGTAGGTTTTTAATGGATTCCCACTTTCCCTGTTCTTTCCCCATAATGCAAATCACCTTCCCTAACCCCTGCAGGCACAGGCTGAGGCAGTGGGTCAGACACCACTGGCAGCCCTGTTCTGGCTCAGGGGAGGGCCAGGCCCACCCTTTGGTGCCCTGTCCCACCACAGCTGCCCTAACCCCAGATTGCTTGGTGGGGTGGGCTCTGTGCCAGGTTTTCAGACTGGGGTGGTGAGGGAAGTTATAAATGTCCTGCTGTAGCTGTAGGAGTGTCTGTGCTTGTTAGGGCTGTGTTTCTGGGGCTTCCAGAGGCTTCTGTGCCTGATGAGCAGCAAGTGGAGCCGTGGGTGCAGCAGATGCTGGATACAGCCCAGTCACTGTGACTGCTCGGGCCAGGAGCACACACAGGGTGGGTTTGGGCTGCACAGGTTGGGGTGAGAGGGAGGGCAGAGCTGGGCCTGTCTCTTGCACAGCATTTGAGCATTTCTGCTCTGTCTTGCCAGAGGAGATTTGCCTTTGGGCTGAGCAAACATTATGGGGTTGGGGTTTGGCTGTTTTCTAAGAAAGGGGAAAAAAACCTCATTTTTAACATGCAGTTTCTGCAGTGTGCAATTTAAGGAAAGGTGAGGACATGAGCAAGGTAATACTGAGTTCACTTCCTGCCCTCCCTGGGGCACAGTGGTGGTGCTGAGGGTGCCTTAAACTAGGCAGAGATTTTAGGCCAGCTTTGACCAGCCTCTCCAAGTCACAGTGATTAATGTCACTGACTGTGCATCCTTTCTGCCTTGGCCTCACCTCCTTGAAAGGCAAAATCATACCTGGTCTGGTCGGGTGTCAGAAATGAACACTGGGGTGCTGGACAATGGCTGAAGGACAGACAGTGGCCACTACACCCATCAGAACCCTGGAGAGGATAAATGTAAGCAGTGGTTTTGTCTAGATTTATTTACTTCACATGATTTTTACTGCTCTAAAGAGTTCCTATCTTTTCGTTTTAACTCTTTTAAACAGAATTGCAAATACAAATTTAACCTTCTGTTACAACAATCCCCACAACCAATCCTGCAGAAGCTTTACATCCAAAGCAAAAAAAAAAAAAAAAAAAAAAGCTGGGGAGGAGGAAGAATTAAAACATTGTACCCTCATCAAAACACAGTTGGGTTGGGGTTTTAACACATGGATGCTGAGGTCAGTGTTTTGCTTTGCAGAATGGGAGCTTGAAAGTCACTTTGCATTTCTGTGCAATTAGTTTTTGCTGTCTGCCTGTTATCCTCAAAACCTTCTTATGGGCCCTTTTAAATCTTAAATGTGAAGGCAGGAATTTACTGATTATCCAGTTAGAATTTAACAATTTAATAGCCCAAATTAGTGGTTCTGTTACAAGAAAGAAAAAAAAAAAAAAAACAAAAACCTGTTAGTTCAAATCAATAAGACAAAACCTCAAAGAAACAGTAAAATCTGTTATGCAGGGGAAACCCTTCCTGAAGCCTTCAGCTCCGGGCTGGTGTGGAGCATCCACTTCCACATCCCTCATGACCCTGAGGGGGCAGCTTGCACCTTCCAGAAGCCAGGCCAGGGTGGGAGCAGGAGGGCAGCTGAGGTGAGGGCAGTGCCCAGCCATGCTCAATGGTGGTGGTGGCCCTGCGCCTGCTGGGGTTGGTTTTTCCATCTGTCCATGGGCAGCCTACACTGCTGCTTTTTGTTGGTCCCTGGTTACTCGGTTTTTCTGTTCTCCCTTGTCCTAAGTTGTTTCTCCAGCTGCTGCCATGAAGTGGCCTGGGGTTGTGGTTGGCCATGCCACCTTCCCCAGGAGCTGAAATGGCTGAAAGCCCCCAGGACATCGACTCTAAACTAAAGCAAACTCTAATTACTGCTGACTAAAGAACCACTGGTGTGGCTGAACAAGCTGAAATCAGCCCAGGTCCAGAGCCTGCGGTCAGGCTGGTGCAGAACCTGGAGCCTTTCAGTGCTTATAAATGACATTTCCTGGGCTGCTGCCTGCTGGAAAACACTGTGACACACCTCCCCATGTCTGGTGGCTGCTCTGGGCTGCTGCATGAGGGGATCTCTGAGGAGCTGGGCTGGCTGGGGAGAAACATCTGCTTCCGTGTTATCAAGATGGTGATCCATAGTGTTCTGGTGTGAAAAGGCCTCGTACTTGACAGGGGTGTGGAGGGGGTGAAGGAAAAAAAATATTTACAAAGGCCCCGTCCCTGGGAAGGGGAGAACCATAAATGGTGGATTTCCAAGTGTCTCTGTCTTTCAGCCTGCTCTTTGTGCCATAAAGTGTGTGTTTTAAACAATGGTGAGGGTCTCAAAAGGCTTTGAGAGCACAGCTACTTCTCATTTACAAATGACAAGCTGCCTGTTGTTTTCTGGTGGGCTTGGTAGGGGCTAAGGTATAGCAGAATATCTAAAGTCCACCTTTGCTTTAAACAGATGCATTTCTATCTGCAGGAGTAAGAATTATTTCACTTATCAGCATAGCTGGACAGTTATCTATTTCTTTCTGTTACCAAGGTACTTGTAACTCTCTTGCACTGTTTATCTAAAGTTGAAATATGTTCTTTGAATCCTTGTATAAATAAAAAGGCTGGAGACAAATCTGTATTTACAGGGCAATTATTTCTTCTCCATTTAAGCCGAGTCTGGCATTTGCTTTCTTTTTCACTTGTTAAGGCACAGCTGAAGGGCCGGGGCAGGAGCCCTGAGGAGTAGAACCATGTTTCAGCCACAGTGTGTAATGGGCAGTGGGGATTCACCTGCGTCCCTGCACCGTTCAGAGGAGCACTGCTGGGCTCTGTGGATGTGTGTTCATGGCAACAAGGTGAGCCTGGCTTGAGGCATCACAGTGAAGATCCTAAGTTGTCTCTTTCTCATCTAGAAACACAGAAAGTCATGGCATAACAGTATAAAAATCAGAAATGCCCTTGGTATTCGTCCAGCTCCACCAGTACAGCTGCTGGATGGGCTCACAGCAAGCAAAGCAGCGAGGGGATGTTTGATTTCCAGCACGTGCTTGAGACTGAACTGGTGCAGCAGAAAAGTTTGTACTTCATCTCTGTCCACTTGCAGAAATGGGTGAATGCAGCTGTCAAGGTGATGTGTTGGAAGCTTCTCATGAAATGTCTAAGAGAGACTTGGTAACTGAAAATTCATAAAAGTGTATCCTTCTGCCTGGAAGCAAATATCAGCTAAATTTAATAAACTGACTGATATCCTTAAGTGAGTAGGTATTTATTTAGGCTCCTGTCCTGCAGCTACAGCTATTTGCACCACGTCCACACATTTACATAAATACAGACAAGTGCAAAAATACAGGTCTTCTCCTTGGAAAAGTTTTGTGCACACCAGTTGCCTGCTTTGCCTCCTTGGTGTCTAATTATGACCTGAAATAACAGCCTGTGACAGCTTGGTGTTTACTAAAGGTGCCTGAGAACATTTCTGCAGTTCATAATGTCATGAACACTGCATGTTTGCAAATTCAGTGCTGAGAGCTTGCAGGAGGTGTAGGGTGTGGTACAAGCTCAGTTCCTGCTCCACTGCAGCCACACATCACTGCTTCCCCAGGCATGGAAGGCTTCAAGGCTCTCAGCAGCAGCCCAGCACGTACTGGGAGCTCACCGAGCCAGCAGGGCCAGGCACTCTGCAGGTGCATGGCAGGAGGACAGCAGACAGCCATTGGGACTGGGGCTGTTGCCGTCAAGACCAGAAATAGCCCAGCAAAATCTGGACTGAGGCATCAGACCCTTTCTAAGGAGGGGGTGAGGCTCTCACCCTGCACTTCAACCATCTTCTTACAGAGGCAGCAACTGGCTTCACTGCCAGGAGATGGCATTTGTGTTTCACTTATGAATTACTCTGTGGGTAGTGACAACTGCCCTGTTCCTAACTCCTGCTCTGCACAGAGACCCGTGCAGGGCAGGCTGGTGGGAAGGGACTCCTTTCTGGCATGAATGCCTGAAGTCAGCTGCAGGCAGAGCCAATAAACATCCATAGCCTCAGAGAGAGGGAGCTCCGGTGCAGCCCAGTGGCATTTGCTGGTGCTAAAGTGACAAGAATGGTGCCCTGAGATGGTGTCACCTGGGTAACACCTGGAGCAGTGCTGGGATGAGCTGCAGGAGCTGCTAAACCACTAACTCCCACCAGGCTTGTCTGGCAGGTCCCAGAGCAATCTGATGGGCACCCACACAGATCAGTGGAGGGTTCATGGCACAGCAAGTGTGATGCCATGCAAAATCAAGATCATGGTTTGGCATGAACTGGAGTGTGCCCATAAAGCACCACCCAGGGACTCTAAGGGCCCAAGAAAGGCCACTGATGAGTGCAGGCAGCAAAAGGATGAGCCTTTGTCAGAGGAAGGTAGGGCAGCAGCTGACACATTTCCACAGCGTGGGGAATTGATGTGTACCTGTCCCACAAGGAAGGCCCTGGCAGTGATTGCAGAAAGGCTCCTTGCCTGAATGCCCGCATCATGGCCTGGGAATAAGGGGTGTGCCATGGAAATGCTAAATTGGGCAAGAGCCACTGCCAGGGAGGGTCCAAAATCCCTGGAAAGAGTGGCTGTGGAGGAATCCAGGAGCCCTCCCCACGCTGCTGGGATGGGCAGCACCAGGGGTCTCCTGTTGAGTTTTCTCCTTTCCAGCCACAGGATCCCAGCCTGAACCGAGCTTTGCAGCAGCCACGTGCCCTGAGCACAGGCAGCAAGGGGGCAGGTGAATAAGCCTTCCTGTGGGAGCTGAGGCACATGCTGCATAACAAAGGGGACTGCATACTCTTGTGCTTATGTGAGAGAGTCAATTCCTTTGGCCCTGGAGCCAACATCTCACTGACAGGCTGCTATTGAAACAAATGATGGGAGGTGCATGGTTGGTCGAGTTCTCCTTCCTCCATGGTGGAATAAAAGCTCATCTTTGTACCTCACTTGTCATTCCTTAATGGGTGGCATTGCTTTTCACACTGGTCTGTGCTCTGCTGCTGCAACAGTTCAGGTTCATTTTTGTGTCAGCAGCAAATATCAGTCAAATGCTCCTGTTTTGCCTGAAAGCAAAGGGGTGAAGCAGCTCAGCCTCCAGGAAGCAGCCGGCACCTGCGACCAGCCGTGCAGCACCTGCCCAGCACTGGCCAATGTGACCTTCACCTGGCTGGCTTGGCCCATCCCCTCCCATCCTGTGCAGTGCAAACCCATGTCAGCACACTCAGGTGTAAGATGCTCTCTGCCCTGGCAGCACACCAGCAATTCTACTGAAGTCCAGGAAGATTAGCACTATGCTATCTGGCCAGCCTAGTAAATAATTTTCTGGGCACTCTACAGATGCTTTTGTTGTAGGAAGGGGGCACCGAGATGCTCTGGAAAAATCACAGAATCGATCACAGAATATGCTGAGTTGGAAGGGCCCACAAGGATCATGGAGTCCAAGTCCTGGCGCTCCACAGAACATCCCCAAGAGTGACACCATGGGCCCAAAAGTACTGTTCAATCACTTCTTGACCTCTCTCAGGCTTGGTGCTGTGCCCACTGCCCCGAGGATCCTGTTCCAGTACCCAACTGGATCTTCTCCGGGTGAAGGACCTTTTTCTAATACCCAACCTAAAGCCACCCTGACACATCTTCAGTGCTGCATCACTGCACCAACAGCAGCGCCCGCAGCAGCAGCAGCAGCAGCAGGAGCAGCAGCAGCAGCAGCAGCAGGAGCAGGAGCAGGAGCACTCCCATGCAGAGCACAGCGGGTAAGCAGCTGCTCTGGGGGTAGCGACTGTACAAACCCACTGCCTTTCCAAGTGAGCTGTGGGCGCTGAAAGTGCTGTCAGCTTTCCAAGCCAGCTCAGGGGACGCAGCGGGCACTAGGACCCGCCTGGAGCCTGCACGGCCCAGCCGGCAGGGAGCGGAGAAACGCAGCGGGACTGGCAGCGGGACCGGCAGCGGGACCGGCAGCGGGACCGGCAGCGGGACCGGCAGCGGGACTCGCGGCGGGACTCGGAGCGGGACTCGGAGCGGGACTCGCGGCGGGACTCGGAGCGGGACTGGCAGCGGGACTCGGAGCGGGACTCGCAGCGGGACTCGGAGCGGGACTCGGAGCGGGACTCGCGGCGGGACTCGCGGCGGGACTCGCAGCGGGACTCGGACTCGGAGCGGGACTCGGAGCGGGACTGGCAGCGGGACTCGGACTCGCGGCGGGACTCGCGGCGGGACTCGCGGCGGGACTCGCAGCGGGAGCAGCGGCCCCGTGTCCCCCGATGATGCAGCTCTGGCAGGTCACAGCCTCGCTGCTCCTGGGCACGGCCCGGGCGGCGTGCGACGAGGAGCTGCTGGCGCGGGAGGGGGTCACTTTCTGCGTGAACGTGAGCCGGCAGCAGCCCTTCCCCGCGCTGCGGAGCGTCCGCGGGCTCCGCGTGCCCGTGTGGGACCGGCCGGACGAGGACCTGCGGCGCTGGTTCGAGCCCTGCGGCGCCGCCATCGAGGCGGCCGTGCGCGCCGGGGGCCGGTGCCTGGTGTACTGCAAGAACGGCCGCAGCCGCTCCGCTGCCATCTGCACCGCCTATCTCATGAGACACCGCCAGCTTTCCCTCAAGGAAGCGTTCGAGGTAACGTGCCTACATCCAGATTCGTATTTACAGCTCCTTTGGGCATGAAATCCAATGTTGCTTATGAGTAATGATGATTTCTTGTAGAATTATTTTAGTGCTTTCTCCTGCCCATCACCAGTTGTACAGGAATTCAACATTTCAGTAAACAGTGCCCTGTAAGTTTTTCATACCCAGCTTGGTCTAATAAGTTTTCAGTGTGGGGTTTCTAGGATGAAGATAAATACAAATGCAAGTAGGCTTTAAGCACAGGTAGCAAACATACAAAGCTGGTTGCTTAGTGAACATTTTCTCTATCATGTTCACATTCACGATAAGTGAAGAAGGAGACATGGAGTGAGTGGGTGCGGGAGCTGTTATCAGGGTTCTGCCGGGTGCCCGGGGCTGCCAGCCAAGCAGTGACATGTCAGCTTTCCTGGGAAGCCTCTCCAATACAAGCTCCCTGTGCTCTGCAGGTTTTGTCTTCACCCATTTGTCAGGTGCATCACTTCAGATAGCCAATTTGCTTAATACAGACTGAGGTGTGCAGACAGTGACCAAGTTTCACACTATCATCTTAACCATGAGCAGTGTCACTGCACGTGGTGAGAGACTTTCCCATTCCCAGCAAACCCAACAGCTCTGTCTCCTGTCTTGCCCATGATTCCCTTCTGTGACCAGGCCCTCCTGCCAGTTCCTAGCAAGTACGGAGTGACATCATCTCACCAAAATAGCTGTTTGTTCCTCTGTAGCCAAATCAAAACAAAGTAAATCTTGAAATTTTAAGTTCCAAATTAATTTGCATGACTCCCACAAATGCAGGATACATTGCTTCTACTATGTCTCTCCTGTTCTCTAGGCTGTGAAAACTGCCAGACCCGTAGCAGAACCAAATGCAGGATTTTGGTCTCAGCTGCAGAGATATGAAGAAGAATTGCAGATACAAAAGAAGTCTGCTCTGCTGAGTAAAGGACTTAAAAATAGTGATGTGTGAAGATACTTTAAAGAAAGTGAAGTGACTTTTTTAAAAAAGGGGGAAAAATCACTTCCTAAATCACCTGTAGATAAAACACTCTACCCCCATAACTGAGTTGATGGTTCATTAAATTCATTCAGAGCATTTCTGTTGATAATGCATGGAAAGAGGGCAGATAAGCAGGGGAAAACAGCAGAAACAGAAAGTGGCTGGAAGGACTGTAAACAAACCACAGAAAGGCCTGGAATCTTCAGCAGTTATTTTCCCCTGAATGACACTGAGTATGGTAACAATGTACTGAACGAGGGAAGGAGTTACCACACAGGGATTTTATTCCTATTTTTTAATTAAACTTCCCAGTGGTGCCATTAGAAGACATGATGCAAAAATAAGGAAGTTCTGAATTTCTCTCTCACCTACTAGATCATAATTCACGTTATGTGTTGAGCTGACACAACCTTTGGTGGGAAACTGGCAGTGGCTGATGCTTTGTCTCTGCGATTTCCCTTATGTTCAACTAGACCGAAGCACCTTCACAAATGACCTAAAAATCCAGAGGACAGAATATACAGGAGATGGTAAGGAGTTCTGCTCCCACCATGCAGGCCAAGTGCCTTTTCAGCTTTTGAAATTATTCTCTAAAACATCAAAGGAATTATTTTTAAAACTGCAGGCGATAGTGGAGGGAAGAAGATGACACTGGCAATGTAGAAGTAATCAACACTCCTTTTAGCATTACTTACTAAGGCTAATTAAGTTCATGCCTTAATGTCTCAGTTTACAAGTCAGCTGTTCCTGCATGCAAGCAGCATGGCTAAATCATTTCTGCTGAGACTGCTTGCAGGTTGCCCTCTGAAATTATCTACTGGGCATGAAACTTCCAGATCAAACTGCTACATGTTTATCATTAGCCATTCAAAATAGAGTTTTGTCAAACTGTATGAACACACTTGTAATTTAAAAGGGACAAGTTATAGAACCTGAGAACCTGCAGGGTGAAATTCCATTGCACCTTGCTGAAAGCATAAATACAGAGTAAAGTTACTCACTGCCATCTGCCTAAGTGCTCACACAAGGTAAACATATGCTCCCAGCAGTGGAGTAGTTTAAGGCAAAAATTCTAATGCTGGAACAATGACAGAAAATAAAACCACCAGGGAATTACATTACATGAATTAGACAATTCAGATGCAGTATAAGTTCCCAAAGTTAAAGACTGTTCAAAATGAAAGTAATGTTATTTTAAAAGCTGAAACCAGAGAAATAAAAAAATAAAAATGTCAGGCTATCATTTTCTTAGTTACCACAAGGCATTTTCACACCAGATGTTTTCTCCACTCCCAGCAGTGTTTTGTTCATTCTGTGTCGTTTATTTTTTGTATCTGCATTACAGCCAACAAGAAATTTGTTGCACATCTGCAGATTTGAAAGTGATTCTAGCAGATTTGCTAGAAAAAATGTTGTAGCTTTTATAAACCTTGACTATCATATATAATAAAAATTTCAGTATAACATAAGATCCTTATAGAGAATTCCACTTGTCAAAAAATCTGTTTCAGTCTGTGGAACAAAGTTTATTTATTGTCAAAAGCTTAAGCTGCTAAACAAAAGAAGGAAGCTAAACATTAATGAAAACAAAACACATTTCTAACTGTGAGGCATATGAACTTGCAGTCAGTTACAGCTATCAGTTCCACATGTTTGAGTCAGCTGAAATAGGAACCATTGCTCTTGAGTGTCAGCATATACTGCACTCTGGTTAAATTTTACCAGGCTTCTCAGCATGCAGAAAACCTTCATGCCACAGGATTTCACATCACAGCATCTTCTGTAGAAAGCTATTTACATCTGAAACCCATTCCTATGTACATCGAAAGCCATACCTCCTCCTGGTACTGCTCCAAATTAAGGCATAGGATTGCAGCTTGGAACCAGAATAAAGAATTCACCTCTTTATTGGAGTTCATCACCCACTAAGGCTGCAGGGATGCAGGATGGGAGCTCAGACATACTCCTTGTTGCTTATGACCGTCTCAGAGCTCCTGGGATACATGTGTGGCTGAGAAGCTGCCTGGGGTGCTGAATATGCATACTTCTTGGGACTGTAAATCAAGAAAAAAACATACCAAATAATAGGGATTAGACACATGCCCATGGCTTCAGACACTTGGAACTTATTCAGTTAGCTTTGTATCCAACCCACCCATAGCCTGTTCTTCACAACAGGGCAGAAATTAGAGGCCTTCTGTTCTCATTGTTCTGGTAGCTCAGGGGGAATAGATGGGGTCCCTGATGGGCTGCACAGCATCTTTCATAACCTCAACCACACTCTGGATTTCTAACCCACATGTGCTCTTCCTCGAGGCATTTCAGTCAAGGCCCTAAAGCAGAAGCCCTCAGCACCTTTGTACAAGCTGCAGGTTTTAATACAGGAATCCAGATGATGAAAAAAGAAAACAGAAATATCTTCACCCAACCCCTTCAACTGTCATTCATCATGTTGAACTTCTATTTCATATATCAGTTTTACTTGATTTTCAGGACATTTCAGGACATTTGGTACTTTGTATCAAAATAAGGTGAGCAAGATCTAAAGTCCAATGTGGCTGATGAAATGTTACCATAAAACTGAAATAGTTTCAGATTAGGCAATGGAGTACCAGAGGAACACTCACTTACTACATTTTGATGTAATTTTCCTAAGATTAAATTCACTAACAGTGAATATGCTTCTTCCTTGCATACATATTATAACCCTTTCAAGCTTAGCTAGTACAACCTCCAAGCTATTTGAGTTCTGGTAGACATGGACCTCTGCTATTTCTGCCTGTTTCATCTCTCTCCTTCAAAAAGAGGCCTTCTGTGTGTCAAAATTTAAGACTGAAACAAAAAAGCAGGGAGGGTTAAATATTGAGGCCAGAAATCTCACCTTTCCTGATCTAATGTGCAACAAGGCATTTCCATAAAGAACAAGGGAAAAACCATGTTTCTAGTGATCAATTCTATGTGCTTTTGGAGACACCTTTACACTTGCTGCAAATTGAACAGTGTGTGAATATTTTACTCACAGTGAGTACTGCAGAGAAACTGGATCATAATACATTATGGGGTTTTATATACTTTTTTTTTTGTGACAGTTTGCTCTTTCACCACACATTTTCACCATCAGCAGTGCCCTGAATTGCCAAATACAAGTTAAAGGTGACTGCTGATGGTGATGCATCCCTGTCTGGGAGGTGCAAGTGTTTGGTACAGCATCCCCTGCCATCACCAGTTTGTGACATGCCGTAGCAGTGTTTGTAAATTATACATATTTATACCAGGGGATGAGAGAGAGACAGAGTGGTGCACAGGTATAAAGTGGTATGTGATTGACAGCTACTACTTCAACTGAGAAATCCAAGATTACCTGTAATTTTGTTTTTCCTTCACTCTGCATGAACAGGTCAGTAAGATCCCACCAAGTATATAAAGGATAGATCCAGCCCAGCCTAAGTACAGACCTTCTCCTAGTTCATACCTGAAACATGAAAGATTTTATGGAAACAACTTATAACAAAACCACAAAGCTGTGCAAACAAATTCTAATCTGCATAGAAATCAGCTAACTGAAAGGCACTTCAGCAGTTAACAGAGAACAGATCTGGCTTTGTGTCTGCTCAGTAAAACTCTTATTTGTATAGAGCTGCTCTGCCAAATTAGTGACAGTACAGAGAGTGCTAAGCAACAAATAGATAAGTAGCAATAAATAATTGTATATATTTAACAAGTTGTTGATAATAAATAATAATGACAATGTGCAATCCACAACACTTATTTTGCCCTTTGATTGGCTGTGTCACTGAAATGATTTTGTGAAACTGAATGATTCAGATCTTACTGTCTATATGCTGAGAAAAGGCTGACCACAGACATCAGTTTTCTATGGACAGAACACTAGGTGACTTAAAAGTAGCTGGTTGTATAGGGCTAGTTTCCAAACTTAGATATCCTAAAGGATATTTAGCACCCTCTGTGGTTGTATGGCTGAAAGGTATTTATGAATGTCCCAGGCTGAAAAATAGTTCCCTATTTTACTGTCCAAAACTATACCTTTCAGGAAACCCCCTTGTTCAGTCCAATAAATTAATTGATAATGAATTTGTCCCAAAGATTAGACACAATTGAGTCTGGAAAAGTCTGGCAGGAGTTTCATAAAAAGAGGAAAACAAATTTTCATGATCAGACAAAAACTACATCCACAATCCACCTGTACATCTCTGAGATACCCAATATAAGAGTAAAATGAGTGTCATGGGCTGCATTGAAGGTACCACGGAACCAGAGATTTGTGTTTTCTTTCCACTTGGAAACACAATTATTTAAGTGTCAAAGGTTCTGACTCTGGAAATTCATTGCTAACAGGAGGGTTTCAGGGGTTTGCACAGCTCTCCGTATCTCATCGCACGTGGGAGCCACAAGGTCTCCACTCTTTAGGTACTTCCAAACATGGAACAAGCAGAGAGTCATTATCAAACTAACCCAGCAGTACAAATTGCACATTGCCCAGTGCCTGCAATCATTTCTGCTCACCAGTCACCTACAGACAATAATGCTGTAGATGTCACACCAAAGCAAAGTATATAGGAGAACTGCAGGAGAACTTAGTTTGTCTTCAGAGCTGTAAGAGAAACTCCTCTAAGAATTAGCAGAGGTCAACTGCACTAATTTGCTGAAAATTAGACCAAAAAATACAATCTGAAAAACCAGATTTGCCAGTCTCTTAAGACTGAAGATCAATACTGGCATACAATTTAATTTAAATTTGTCTCACAGACTGCATGTCCAGCTCTACCAATGATCAAACTTCATTCATCAAGAACTGCTCAGTGAATCAATAGCTTAAATGTGAAGTTTAGATATTAAAAATATATATATATATTTCTTTAGCTACTGAATCTATATCTGGTAACTGATTAACAGACAATTAACTTACTGATGTTGAAGCCCCAAAGCTGTAGCAGATAACTATCAAACACTAACCAACTATCCGACTAACCGAAATTCCTTATCAACGGTTGTTTCAGTTCTCTAATGCATTTATTACCCTTCATATACGTCTCTTGAGGGGATATAAAGCAACAAAAAGTAACTGCACAAATACTTTTTTTTTTTCTAAGCACTTCATTGAAAATGCAGGGAAAACTGACAAACAACAGAAGCAATTGCTTAAAGCACTTTGATTTATCACAAAGCACTTCACCTCTGACTTCCCTGAACTGATTCCTGGGCGGGAACTTTACAAAACACTTCAAATATGAGCCTAGCAACTAGCAATTTATAGTTTATTGATCTATGATTTATATACTTGGTAGAAGTATATTATAGATGTCTCATATTACACAGGCAGTATGTTTCCCTCTCCTTTTCCCCCTCTCTGAAGGAAAGGTGCAGTCACCTCTACCCTTGTTCCTCATTCCTAAACAGGACACCTAGATAAGGTGCCATAAGCTGCCATTTGGTTTTGACAACTGTTACTTTTATATCAGACAAAGAGTAAGGGATTTTATACCTCAAAACTTGTTTGTATGCAACTGCACTAGCTGGTAATCCCAGAGATTTTGCCTCATTTTAACTCATAAGGCAAACTGAGCTGTTAATATATAGACATATATATTATGGCAGCAGATTTCTCTGCAGGTCATTAGTACAAACCTCGAGCTGCTTTCCACATGATTTTCCCTTGCATGTACATCTGAGGTACTTTATTTAGTCAGAACTTGAGTTTTGTACCTCTTTTGGTCTAAATGCCAAAGCAGATTAAGAATTTTGCCTTTTCTTCTTCGTAACATCGAGATACACATTAATTGAGTCTCTCAAAAAATACACAGTACAAAACCCCCTCAGATGGAGGATTGGTATTCCTCACACATTCACTAACTCTTCCAGAAAGGAACTCTCCTCCCTCCCCACCAACATCTCTGAGGTGAAAATATTCCCTGAATACAATTTTTCACTCCTGTAGGACTGGATAATGGGATCTATACAGGTTCTGAAACTCTGGAGCAGCTGAGGTTAGTACAGCTAACACATGATGGAGTTTGGTATGACAAGATACATTAACTTACTTGGTTCCAGCATACAGTTGGTTAAAAAACTGAGCAGTAACCATTGCAGCATACCAAGAAATAGCCACCATGGAGCAGAGACCTACCAGAAAAAGTTTAAGAAGCACACAGGTGAATGATTCCTTTAATGGTTGTAACAGATTTAAACCAAAAATAAGTTTATTTCATTTAGTCTGGCTGTGAAAGCCATACAAAGTATCAATAGTGCTCTCATTTCAGCCTTGATATTACCTCCTAAAATAAAAAGAAATCCTCCTGTGACAGTAAACTTCATTTTTCCTTCTTCATCACTCAACCCAATGTTTGTGCACTTCATACCAAGCAGTGAGAGTACTGCAGCTAAGAATCCCAAAAGGATGGAAGTAATCATCAGGGCACGGCATGCCTGAATGTGAGCTAAGACAGAAAAAGAGAAAACAAATCAGGATCTATATAGAAATTACATTAATCTTGTGCTGAAAGAAATAAAAGCAATTAGAGGAAGTGACATAATTAACAGGTGCAGTAATGAGTGAATCTTGTCCAACTTTGTCATATGGTTCAGAGAAGCCTCAAAACCCAAGTGTGTTTAGCCTTCAAGTCAAACAGTTTTGAGAGTTGAACTATGCCTACACTTATAAGCTCAGTAAATCTTCTTGTGTCTTTAGTAAATCCTGAAAAACTACACCAAGCCACTCATCCCTTACCTTCCTGTGAAAATGCCTAGTGGTATACATGGTCATTTGCAGGAGAAGGAAGAAACCTCCTACTCACAAGTCCTTCTGAATTCCTGACACGTGTACAGCTGAGTGCACAGGACACGTCTGAAATGCAGGTGATAGTCAAGGTGTGCAAGGCTCTGGCACTACTGAGGAACTGGAGAAAGGTGCCAGCTTTGCTGCTTCGAGGGAGAGACAGGAAAGAATGGTGCTCAAGTTAGCAGTGCACTTCAAACTCAGTGTGACAAACAGGAGTGAGCGTGTCTGAGAGCTGCAGCACTCTTCCCTAGGACATTCTCCTGTGGAGAGGTTACAGCTGCTGTGGGCACGTTAGGGAATCGGGTATGCTGGCAAATCTGCAGCCTTTAAGCTCCTGGTCTTCACATCTAGGTATCAATTGCACAAAAACCAGGACTAGATTACTAATCAGCCTAAGTCACGTGGGGATTTGGGGCTCCTTTAAAATGGCAGCCTGCATTTGGCAGGCTCCAGGTCAGATGGCATTTCGGCACCTTTGTTGTGAGATAAGCATGCCAAGCATCACAGCCTGGCAGGGTCACAACTGCTAACTTGGTTAACTTGATTAAGTTCTCTTCCAACCTAAACGATTTTATGACTCTGCAGTTTCTATAATGCCTCAGAAGGGTCAGACCTGATTCCAACTGGACACTCACATCATTGATGCCAGCATTCAAGCTCTTGCTCCCTGACCACCTCCACATCCTCCACAATAACCTGCTGTCTAGTTCTGTGGTGGAGTGGGCTGGAACTCTCCAGACAACAAAACCCAGACAGAGAGACAGGAGGCAAAGTGATGCTCACACTCCAACTCAGCCTAATGTGGCTGAAGAGTACTGGTCCTACAAGCTTAAGAGTTACCAAAGATAGCAATAAGAACTCATGAGATAAATATACAGAATTAAAGGCTAAAATCATTTGAGGAGTTAATGCTTTGTTAAGCACTAATTTTAAAACTTCAATAGAAAAAAATGAAGACAGCAGTAAAAGTGGAAAGACCCCTCAAAATACCACTAACAGTTCAAGGTTTTTGCCTGCAGAAGATACTGTAAAGGTAAGTACTCAACAACATTGCTTTCAGATTTGGGATCTTTCACTGTGGCAATCACCCAGCAGGGTCCAACAACTCACATTTCAGGTCCTGGGGACTCCTGCAGTGTTAGATGGACTCCCCATATCTTTCCAGGACACATAAGCATACCCTTGCTAGCAATCCAATGGGAAAGGGATTTCATACAAATGTACCACAACACCATAATCTCAACAGCTTTAACTGAGGATCTTAGTTCACAATTTAGAAAACTCAAATTTTTATTTTAAACTTAGCTTATTTAACAAGATAAAACGTCAGTGCATTTTATTAGTCCACACCAATTGTAAGAAATTATCCCCAAATCCTGTCACTGGAAAAAAAAACCTATGGAACTTTAAAAAGAAGAGGGGAAAAAAAAAACAACAACAAAAAAAAGGAATTTACAAAGCTTTGGCAACTAGTTATATTAAATGTTTGACTTAGTTGTGACTAGACAGAAAGTGCTATATGGAGTAGCCAGTCATGGTTTCAGTCTTGTGCAATAGTGCATTTAAAAGCTCCTCATTTCAAATATTTGTCATTTAGAGTAGTGGTTTAGTGAACTCAAAAGCATTAAATTGGTTTAAAAGAACCAAGTCAGACTTTTCCCATACATAAAGCAAAACCCAGAAGTATTCCATATAGCTCAGTTGCCAATAAGGAAACTTTCGAGGAAAATCTTCATTGTCCTTCTGATGAGAGGTAACAAAGACACTTTTGTTTTATCTTTTTGCCCTCCCTCCAGTTCCTGGCATCATGGCAGCAGTTTCAGCCAAGTTTCTAAAGCGGAATTTGAAACACGCCTAAACTGGCCTGGTAATTTTTAATCTGCCTTGGTTGATATCTGCAAGCACTATGGATGTTTCTCAGAAGTCCCACTGTCTGCTGAGCCCTTGTTGCCAAACCCATTTTCTTCCTCTTTCCTGCTTTGCCCATCTGTCCTTTCAACTGTTATACCATCCATATACCATCCATTGTCTTCTGACTTTTGTTTTTCAGCTTTCCTTTCTAAAAATGTTTTATCTTCACATTTTGCAAGCTGTTTTTCCCTTCTGCTTCCCCCATCTTTACCCCTTGACTATACTGCCCTCTTCTCAACTGCAGGACTGATCTCTTCAACAGATCAAAGCTAATCTTCACAAATTCACTTCAGAGCCTGTCCCAATCATTTACTTTCTGGCCCCACTTTTCTCCTTCCTGCTAACTCCATGTTGTTACCTGTAGCTCTCAGGAGCCCTGCTGTTGCTTGTCTTCTCTTCTGTTTGCTTTAACACGCATGGTGCTCTTTTCTGACCAGGTTCTTTCAAACCCACTTTTTCCTCCAGATGCTGATCTCCTGTGGGCCCATGGCCCAAATCTGCTCATATTCTCAGAGGCAGCACCCCGTGTAAACACATCAGTGACAAGATGCTGCCTGGAGTCAGTGGCAGTAAGCTACAAACCAGCCTTGGAGTGGTTTTTACAAGAACCAAATAAAATCAAGAATCATTAAGGCTGGCAAAGATCTCTCAGATCAAGTCCAACTACTAACCCAGCAGTGCTGGTGCACACTGACATAAGTGCTCTGCAGAGGATAATGGAGGATAATGTCTGAGGGAATGATCCTGCGTTACTGAGGCTAAAATGTTTAAATAGGGTTATGTTCCTTTTCATACACACACACACACACACACACACACACACACACTAAAAGCAGAAAAATGAAAGATTAACATATTATTCTCTAAATACTGGACACCATTTCAGAGAATTGTTATGAGAGTGTTAGAGCTGCTCAAACACAAGCCTTTACTTCAGACTGAGGGAGAAAGTGAATTTAACACCTCATTCCCACTTAATCCTATATTACACATTCTTCAGATTAGGAGTATCCTCCTACCTATTTAGTTTAGCCACCTCCTAGGGCAGATTCAGCTAGAAGGAAGGCATTTTTATTCTGAATAAGTATCTACATACTGAATTATTCAAGATTAATAAAAAATAGCTTTACTGTCTAAAACATGCTTGGTATACACAGAATACTTCCTAGTTGGGCATTTGAGGACAACCACAATTATGATGAAGACTGATGCACAGAACAGGGGCCAGCAGATCATAATTTCTTTGTATTTAAAACCACATCCAAGTAGACTTTAGTTACTGTCAGTTAACTAACAGTAGTTAGCATTAGTTGACAAGCTTAATGATATATTAATTTATAGCATATACTCCTTCTATAAGTTATAATATGTATAATGTATTATCATGTATTTCTTGGATTATCTACAATTTTCAGTGTCAACTCACAAAAACCACTACCACTTCTCAGGTAAAACCAGTATTTCCTAGTACATTAAAAACTCCAGATACGGTACATTAGCTATGAAGTTTTGCAAAATAAGGTCTATACAATAATTCTAAATAAATAAATAGTTTAAAAATCTCCTACTAAGACATCCAACAAGATGCTAGAGAAGAGATTACAACCCACTTTACATGCCTGTTAAATTCTTGATCAACTGGCTTTGTTTGTGTTATTTTATAGCCTTTCCTAACATGCCTGACACATTCTGCTGCTTGAGAGATTTTTATTACTTCAGCCCACAAAGTCCTTCTTGGCCAGTTATTTTCCAGTATTACCAGACTACTAAAACAAAAGCCTTACTACTTTTTGCCAGTAAGTTTTTTAGCAATATAAACAAGGCTGCACAAAGTCACCTACCAGGCAATGCAAGCATGGAGTCAAAATCCCTGCAGTTGGATACTCCAGTGCTGTCTTCTGCACAGCTCTTCCACAGGTTTTCAAACAGCGTGGATGTTGTGATCACAGAACCATGTATACTGGAAACTTTCCAGTAATTATTTGGCAAAGTAGCTCCAATAACTGCCAACCCACCCAAGCACAAAAGAAAGCCAACAATTTCCAATGTAGCAGTCATACTTGTGAGTAGTAACAGTTAAGTATCCTTATAATTAGATTACAATCAAGTGAAGCCTTTCAGAAGCCTCCTTGCTGTTTTATCTCTGAGTTTCGCTCCAAAATGAGTCTACCTTTGCTCTTTGCTCTTTCCCCATAGATAAGGCTTACTGGGCATGACAATAAGAAGTGGGAGCAGTTCATGATAAAGATATTAGTGTGTAAAAAAAGTGACCATATTAATTCTTTTTCTAATAGGAAGTGAAAAATGAGCCTATTCTTCTCAGCCTAGAAAGTCCAGTCAGTATTTCTACAAAATACCTTGTAAGAGTGATAACATAGGCAAATATTTTATTTCTGTCTCTTTTCTGAAGTCAACTAGATTTTACACTAGATTAGGATTGCTTGTAATTTTATTTTTCCTGTCAAATCAAAAAGCTTTTATGTAATAATTTCTTGAGGATTCAAACAACTTGAGAAAAGAAGCTTTATACTTCTGCTAGAAAATTTAGCACAGTTTTTGGAGTTATGGTCATAAGTAATCCACAACAACTGTACTGCCAGCTTCTTTCAGGAAGCTTAAGTTTATGGATGAGTGGTTTCCATTAATATTTACTGTCTATTGATCTATAGCTAAACGCATTCAGTCTTAAAAACCATCCCACTTACACTGTACAATTGTACAATGTATTCCAATTGTAAAAACGCAATAGAAATGTAAAGAAATGCCATGGAATTGAAATGTAAGGAAATTAAGGAGCTAGTGTGACAGACCTGTCTCTAAAGGAATAAAATTATGGAGAAAAACAGCTACAAGAAAAATAGTATATATCAATGAATTGCATCTGTTTGTTAGAATACCTTAGGATTAAAAAAAGCTATTCTAGGCAAAGGATATGTTAAATTCAGTTTAGTTACCTCTGCTCTTGGCTAGATAGAATCGTAGCCTCAATTCACATCACCCACTCATGTTAATACTTTAGAATACTTGTGGATCCAAACGTGGTTAACCATTTTTGCAGTGATAACCTGCTCTTATCTCCAGGAAATGGAGTCAGAGTTTCTTCATAAAATAATTCTGCTATGATGCAACATGGTAACAGTTCCACAGCATTTATGTAAACACTACCAGAAGAATTAGCCTTTGAGAGAGCCACAACTTGTCCCTAACAGGTATTTGTTGTTTTTCATCAAAATTCACTGCCACTTTGAGCTGATGCTCAAAGGTTCTTAGGTTCAACTGCCAAAGGGTATTACAGTGCCACAAGGACATTTTGGCTCCCATGGCAGTCAATAGGGTCATTGCCATTGATTTAAACAAGACCAGATTTGGCACTGTGATCCTGTGCAGCTCTAAACTTGCAATCCTTTAAGGAAACCAGATACTGTGTGGTAGGAATTGATCTCAGGAGACTTACAGAATTCCCTCCTTCTGCTTAGTCACTGCAACTTAGAAAAGGATGGCACAGTAAAATGAACACATTGTACCAGTATCCTGGAGTATCTACATTTCATTAAAAGCCCTGCAAAGAGTTTCCAGCCAATTTACCTATACACTGGTGCTGTACTGGTGATCTCAGCAATCACTTCTGCTAACAGCACTTTCAAAGGTGAGACAGTTGGGCCCTTGAATCAAGTGTCCACAGCTGTTATACTGCTGCCAAGGATAGAAATCAAAAACGAAGCGTGTAATTTTTAAAAAATCTCTTCTTAGTTAAGAAATGTATTTCAACAGGCAGTCATAAAGCACGTATATAAACAGAAAATATTAAACTGCAGACCTGAAGTGCATGAGTTTTCCTATACAGCACCAGGCATTTTAATAATTCCCTTCAGGAAATCATTCTCCCATGTGTTAAAGAACATAAGGCTGTTTTTCACTAAATTTTGTAAACTGTGGCTTGTCGGGCAATGGGCATAACAGCCAGCACTGCTCTGCAAGAGGCTCTGCATCAGCAGGGCTTAAGAGTTGGTGTGGATCAGCACCTTCCACAGACTGGGAGCTTTCCTTTGGGCTTGCTCTAACCCAGTCAGTTGAACCAATTGCTGTCATTGTTCACCTCATCTCCTCACTCTGAATTCCAGAAATATAAAGCATCCTGGTACCTACACAGAGGAGACTGGAGAGGGGCTGGACAGGTACCAGGATGGTGTGAAAAGCTGACATTGCCTCTGATGCAATGAGCAATGTTTTTAAATCCTTGGAAGCATGTGATTAGCCTGCTTTTGAGGCTACAAACTCTGGCCTCATTATGGGATGCTGATACTTACTCTTAAACTGGCCTCCTCATTAGGAAGGCAGATGAGGCCAACAAAGTGAGGGCCCTGCAGATGAACCATGAAAATGCTGCATCTTGAGAGTTAAACTCTTACCCTTTAGAGATCTGCCTTACAGTTAGGCAGCTCTGACTCCAGGGAAGTCCACATCTGCGTCAAGAAAAACAAGGTTCATAGTCTGTGACTTGTGGTATTTTTAAGGCTCAAGCAGTGCACATTCAGAATAAAACTGCTGGAAAAATCCAGACAAATAGCAATGACAGCAATCAGGAACCTATAAAGCACGGAAGACTTGAAGAAATGATATTAACATCACTCATAAAGTGACTACACAAAACTGAAGGTTGTAAAATAATAAATGCAAGGTTCTGTTTAAGTCAGAAAGCTTAACAAAGTACCATTTCCAAAGGCTTCAGTGTAACTGTTTCTATACTCAGTTTGCTGAGGAAAGAACTTCAGTGTCAGTCCTTCCCAGTCCTTTACCATAAAGATAGTGTTTACAGAAAGATATTTTTAAAATCCAGAATAATTCAAACAAATACTTTCCAGCCCCTACTGAGACATTTCTTCTCTTTCTAGCTGCAGGTAACTACCCTGCTAGCATGCTCAACCCTCGAAAACACAAAGCATCCATTGCACAGCTGTATTTTAGTCTAAGCTCACCGCCTCTGAGAAAATCCAGAAAAAATACCCAGGTACACAGGTTTAGCACAAAGTATCAAACCAGTCCTGGAATATCTAATAATACCTGTCTCACACCAAAGCACAAATACCAGTGGTCATGATGATCTGCTTGTATTGAAGAACTAGGCTGAGTGAAAAGATGTTATTTCTTCCAAAACTGCTTTTTAAAAAATTCTCAGATTTACTGTATATCACCCATACCTCTATGTCAACACACCAGAGAGGGCAGCAAAGCCACAGCAGTGACTGAGCTGAACTGCAGGGTGAAACACTGGTTTCATGGTGGCCCTTTAAGCTGTCTGCAACCACTACAGGATTTGGCCATACTGGACATACAGCCCATACTGGGCTGTTCTGGCACCTCCAGTGTGTGGCTGCTCCCTGATATCCCAGCACAAAGATGCAGGGACACAGGTGACACCTAAAGCACATACACCCCTGCAATCCTTAGGCTGAATTTTGGCTGCAATGCTTTTTCTGGCATGTCATCATACCAGAGACAGGGATTTTGTCTTGGCCTAACCCTTCTCATTCTTTTGTATACATAGGGCAAGCACACCACACTGAGAAACAAAATTGAAAGCTGGAAGTTATTTTAATTCAGTGAGAGACACTGATGGAGAAGAAGGCAAGTGGAAATAAAGCACAGAGAACTGCAGTGCCCTGTGGGACACTCTGTGCCCCCCAGCCTGCCAACACGCTGTCCAGAAAGAAGGAATAAAACCCTATCCTTGGATTTTACAAACATCTGCCATGACCAAAGAGTTCACTTACGGTCTGAACTCAGCATGTAGAGAAATTGCTTGCACTGTACTGATCCAAAAGCAGTTGCTGCACAGTCCATCCAAAGACCTTCAGAAACCCAGTCTGCAGTAACCAGCTCTGTCGTGGTGTCCAAAACTTTCCATCTGCTGGACATGGTAGTAACAAGTAATGTAGTGAATCCTGCTAAAGCCAGCAGCAACGCACAGATCTGTAGACAGGATGATGCCATTGCGACCGAAGTTTCCTTCAAAGATGTTCCCCAAAATTTCTGGTATTAGAAACCTGTTGAAACAGTTCAGACACACACAGAGTATGGAGTTACCTTTACACAAGCCTGGCCTTCGCAAAAACATCCATAAGATGCCTACCTACAAAATAATGTATCACACAAGGGAACTGTAGCTGTAAATGTAATGTAATGTAAATCCCATTAAGTAACTAAAATAACTGACGATTCTATACATTATTTTTCTTAGGAAAGCTTCTATTATTGTACACATTTACCACAAAAAAAATGCAAACAGAGCAAAACCACAGGAGACAACCAAAGAATTCTCTAATTTTAATTTGCAATGTTTCATCCATTTGTTACTTGTTTGCTAATTCAAAATTCATTTAAAAATGAAAACTATCAAATGTTTTAGTAAATTATTAATCTCCCAATTACAATATCTACCAATACAAATTTAAAGCAAGATAAATTGTGATACTCACGTTTATGGTATGTTTCTAATCCGTTTTCTCTACCTTCCTGCAAGATACTAGTGTCAGCACTTTGTGAGGACCAATTCGATCACCCAAACAAAATTTTGTACTCTTTAGGACCTTTGTCCCATTCTAAAAATCAAGGACCCAGGGCCAAAGCTCTGTCCAGCTGTTGCACAAAGACTGGCATGTCGAAAGGGAAAATTACCAGGAAATTATGGAAATTAGTACCAAATATACTCAGCTCAACCTGACATATAATCTGCTTTGTCAGGGCCACTGAGTTGCCCAGGCACCATCAGAGTGCAAAAGACTGCAGAAACATTGCTACAACTTCCACAATGGCTGGTTTACCTGAATTTTTTTATGCATTTGTTTTAGGATGCATCCTAAAGAAGAAATATGAATATCCTAAAGAAGAGCAGTGCAATAAATCACACATCTGTCCAGTGGATGACATTAACAGACCAAACTGTTTGTGTCTGCAGCCATGGCCCGAGGCAGGACAGACCTCCTGGGCTCACAGCCAAAGGAGGTCTGGCAGCCTGGGACAGCTCTGCAGCCACTTTGCTGCTGCACTTCCTCCTCTCTTTGCCTTCCTCTGTCCCAAGGAGCCACCCTCATCACCCCTTCCTGACCCTGTTTCTACCACACAAATCCCACAGGACTGTCCAGATAATACTTTATTGCAAGAGCACATCCATCCCCTTTCAGCCCACCCCACGGACACCCTACCCTACAGGACCTGATTGTACCAGCTGTCACACAGTGACATGTTTATAAGTTTGAGGTGATGCACAGCTGATAGCAAATATGCATTGCAACTGTCTAAATGAGAATGACAATAAACCAAAAAGGAATAAATAGTCCAGAGCATCTTCCCTCACAAAGTACACATATAGGGTATATGCAAATAAGAGCTGTAATGTGATAAAAACAAACCCTGAGGGAACAAAAAGGATCACTGTAACAATATTAAAAGCAGCACAACCAAAATGTACATAGTTTGAACACAGCGCAGGAAGGGTTAGCAAATAAAAATATTGAAGTCACTTAAATAAACAAATTACTCCTGATAAGGTCTTTGGAAGCAAAAGTGAGTGGTAAAGTATCTAAAATGCAAAGTTAAAAACCTCTTTTACTTCTTTTTTATTTTACATAGAAAAACAAAGGAAGAGTATTGATTACAACACTAGTTTCACTAATATATATACACATTTCTAACATCAGCAATATATGTCTTTGAACCTACTAATCACTTAGTTCAGGCAAATTCTGAGGCTGACCCATGGCCACCAGTGCAATCAGAAAGAGATAAAATGCAAATTTCAATACGGTACTAAACTACTTAGAGCAGTTTCCCATCACAGCTCACAGAGGTTTTCTCTGGTCAGAGTCTGACCTTGGGGTGAGAAGTCAAACTCTTTTCACTACCAGTTAGGGAGAAGGAAAAAGAAAAAAAAGGAAAAAAGAGGAATAATGTTAATTCATTTCCTACCACTTCCAAAGAATATGACTTTGTAACTTTGCTCCTGAAGTTGTCACAACATTTTAATAAACTAATCAGTCTTATAGCCACTTGCAATTATAATGTGCAGATCACTCTCATTTGCTATTAACTTTGCCTTCACACAACAAACTTCAAAATTACTCGGGACCATATGGATGCCAACCTCCCACTGAAGCAGAGTTTCAGTGTTGGGTCAGGTCACCCAAGCCTTATCCCATCACAACAGAGGGGTTTCCAGAGGTGGAATTTGCACAACACTCATGTAGAGCGTGTTCCTCTCACCCTGCAGAACTTTTCCTGCTGCAATATGTGACTGCTGCCTCTTGTCCTCCACGTGCACCCTTGAGATAAATCACTGTTTATCCTGCTGCTGGATTTTGGCAGCTCTGCACTCTGGTAGCCCAGGCGTGTCTGGCATCATGTAGGTGGCTTTGCTGTCCCATGAGTATGTCCACGGCAAAACAGGCAACTGGGAAGGTGCACGCAAACTTCTCCAGACTTTCAAGCTGCTTTCCAGGCAAACACCTGTCTTCTTTTCCCATTTAGTTTCAGGAGGCTGGTGGTGTGTACAGCAGACTGTTCTCTGCTAACAGCTCTCCAGCCCTGCGGAGCTTTGCTGGCATGGAGATGGTGCTGGGAAGAGCAGCACAGTGCCAGAGCAGGAGCCCTGGCTGGCAGCACGGGCACCACAGGGGCAACTGTAGCACCTGCTGAGGCCTGTGAGGGTAACAACAGAATCACAGAATCACCAGGGCTGGAAGAGACCTTCCAGACCATCCGCTCCAACCATCCACCCGCTGCCGCTGCGCCCCTCAGCCACGAAACCACAGCACCCAGCCCCAGGTGTAGCCGCCTGTTGAGCGCCTCCAGGGTGGGGACTCACCAGGTCCCTGGCAACCTGTTCTGATGCCTGACCTCCTGAACAGGGAAAAATGTATTTCTAATAGTTAATCTGATATTCTCCCGCCCCAGCTTAAAGCCATTTCCTCTGGTCCTCTCACTGCAGACGTGGCAGAAGAGACTGGCCTCATCTCACTACAGCCTCCTGCCAGGGAGTTGTACAGAGCAAGGAGGTCCCTCCTGAGCTCCTGGAGACTGAACAACCCCAGCTCCTCAGCCACTCCTCATAAGACAAGTGCTCTAAACCTCTCTAAACTCTAAACCTTGGTGCCCTTTGCTGGACATGCTCCAGTGCCTCAATGTCCTTTTTAAAGTGAGGGTCCAAAACCTGAACACAGAACTCGAGGTGTGGCTTCACCCATGCTGAGTACAGGGGATGATCACTTCCCTGGTCCTGCTGGCTAAACTATTCTTGATACAGATACAGGGAAGAGACTGGAAGGAGCTGATGGTGTGGGAATCTAGTCATCCAGCAGCCCTTTGCTGGAGCAGCCCTGTGATGAGGTGAGGTGAGGTGAGGTGGGGTGGGGTAAAGTGAGGTGGGGTGGGGTGAGGTGGGGTGAAGTGAGGTGGGGCAGGGCAGAGGAGCCCAGGGAGAGAAGGTGCTGAGGTGTGGCAAGTTGATGTGGAGCCAAACACGGAGCAAGGCAATGCTGAGGCAGCAGCTCCAGCCTCCACCTTGCCTCCTGGGCTGCTGCAGCCTAGGAAGAAACAAGCTCTGCCTATTCCATAAGGCTTCTAGAGAGCAGTACAATAAATCAGCCCTGCAGAGAGACCTTGATAAATCAGAGTGCTGGGCCATCACCAACTGTGTGAGGTTTGAAAAGGGAAAGTGCTGGATTCTGCACCTGCGGTGGGATAATCCCTATGTACAGGGGAACAAGAACCTGGAAAGCAGTGCCGCAGAAAGGGACCTGGGGGTCCTGGTCAATGGCAAGTGAATATGAATCAGCAGTGCCCTGACAACCAGGAAGGCCAACTGTGTCCTGGAGGGCAGCAGGCACAGCATCATCAGGGTTGGGATTGTCCATCAGGCCAGGGCTGGGATTGTTCTGGTCTGCTCTGCTCAGAGATGGCCTCACCTCAAGTCCTGGGGGAGTTTTGGGCACTACAATACAAAAAAAGACATTAAGCTATTCGAGGGTGTCCACAGGAAGGCCACAAGGATGGAGAAAAGCCTTGAGAGGCCATATGAGAAGAGGCTGATGACACTTGGTTGGTCCAGCCTGGAGGAGACTGAGGGGAGGCCCCATTGCAACTTCCTTACAAGGGGAAGAGGAGGGACAGCTTACCACGGCAGGTGACCAGCGACAGGACAGGAGGGAATGGCCCGGAGTTGTGTCAGGGCAGGTTTAGGTTGGATATTAGAAGAAGGTTCTTCACTCAGAGGATGGCTGGGCACTGGAATAGGCTCCCCAAGGAAGTGGCTGCATAACCACGCCTGGCAGAGTTCAAGGAGCACTTGGACAACACTCAGGGGTACACGGTGGGATTCTTAGGGACGGTCCTGTGCGGAGCCAGTAGTTGGACTCGATGTCCCTTGTGGGTCCCGTCCAACTCAGCATATTGTGTGATTCAGTGAAATCACGGCAGCCCTGGCCCCGGGCGCCAGCGCTGCCCACCAAGGGCCGCGGCGCTGCAGGCGCTGCCACGCTCATGATGGCGGCAGAGCCGGCACCACCCACCCCACATGGCGCTCCGGGGAGGCGGCCCGGGAGCTGCGCGGGCGCCCATCCGCCCGCCGAGCGGAGCGGCCCGGGGGCCGCGGGCAGCCGCAGCCGTTCCCGCCCTCCGCCGTGCGGAGCGGCCCAGGGGCAGCCGCAGCCGTTCCCGCCCTCCGCCGTGCGGAGCGGCCCAGGGGCAGCCGCAGCCGTTCCCGCCCTCCGCCGTGCGGAGCGGCCCAGGGGCAGCCGCAGCCGTTCCCGCCCTCCGCCGTGAGGAGCGGCCCGGGAGCCGCGGGCAGCCGCAGCCGTTCCCGCCCTCCGCCGAGCGGCTCCCCCGGCGGGAAGATGTCTCCCGGCTGCCCCGGAAGCGCTCGGGAGGCGCCAACATGGCGTGGCGGTGCTGGGCCCGCGCCGGGGCTCCGCGGCCGCACAGGTGCGGCGGCACGGAAGGGGACGGGAGGGAAGGGAGGGAAGAGGCGGGCGGTGCTGACGGTTCGCGTGTTTGCCCCGCAGGCTGGCGCTGCTGCTGCTGCAGCCGCGGCGGGGTTTCCGCCGGGCGCGGCCGCGGCCCGAGGAGCCCCCGGCAGCCGCGGCCGAGGCGCGGCCCGCCCCGCCGCCGCCGCGCCGCAGCCTCTGCCCGCCGTCGCCCACCGCGGCCGCCGGCCGCCCCTCGCCGCGCCGCCTGCTGAAGCCGCTCCTGTTCGCCGTGGGGGTAAGTGGCTGCTGCGGGCCGGTGCTGTGCCCGCTGAGCGGAGCCGGCCCGTAGGGAGCGTATTCCATCTGTCCCGAGGGAATGCTTCCTCCCTGGGCTTCGCTTCGCAGCCCCTCAAAGCTAACGCAAGGTATTTGGCCAAATACTGTAGCGTTATAATGAGCTAATACAAAGTAACTTGAGCTAAATCAGTGAAAAGACTGTAAAGGGATCCTACTTTCATTCAGTTTCGGAGAACTTAGTAATATCATTGAGGAGTTTTGTGAACCTTTTTGATAAAGCATCATCCCGTGACATTGAACATTCAGTAAACCTGAGGAAATGGCCTCAAGATGCACAAGGAGAGATTTAGATTAGATATTTGGGTGAAAAAATTCCAGAAGAGGTTGCAAAGCATTGAAACAGGCTGCCAAGAGCAGTGGTGGAGTCCCCATCCCCGAAAGTGTTCAAAAAACACGTGGATGTGGCACTCGAGGACATGGTGAACTCAGTGGTGGTGCTGGCTTGGCCACCACTCATGCTCTTAAAGGTGTTTTCCAGCCTCAATCCTGTGTCATGCTGTGAGTCCCGCTGGTCAGCGGTGCCACAGGTCCCGTTGCTCGCATCCCTCGGGTGTGGCATTAGCCCGGGATGCCCTTTGGGCAGAGCGGTCACCGAGCCTTTGTCCGGTGTCCCCCAGTTCACAGGCTCGGCCTTCGGCTCCGCCGCCATCTGGCAGTACGAGTCGCTCAAGTCGCGCGTCCAGACCTACTTTGAGGAAGCTCGGGCAGACTGGATGGATAAAATGCGGCCGCAGAAGAGAGGCGACTTCAGAAAGCAGGTACGCAGAGCCAGGGCTGCTCGCACAGGAGTGCCAGGCACATTCATCTCCTCTGGTATGAGCATCGTTTGTACAACAGATTCTTGTCCTGGGTTTTCTGATTTGGAACTTGCAGAAATATTGCCTTCTCAAATAATTACAGTAGATAAGTTGATTTGCAAGGAAAACTGATAGAATTAATTCTAGAGATCTGTAACTCAATATCATTGCGAAGGTTATAGTGGAATAATGGAGAAATATATAATCTTCACCCAGAACTGCAGGAAAGAGAGGTCAGTAGTAGGAATTTTTTCATCTAAACTAGGTATTCTTTGCTTTTTCATAATAAAAAAACACCAGCAAATGTTCTTGCTTTATCTTAAGTGCTCTCAAAAGTGAACATGAATTCCCAGAGGACAGAACTAGATTAAATTTTCAGTCTTATGCTTAAGGCTTTTTAGTGCTCTGGCTTCTGAAATGAATTTGTATTTTCAACCTCTAAACCCTTAAAAATACAAGTTTTTAAAGAGCTTTTTTACTTTAAGAGCTGACATTTCCACACAAGTACTTTTGAGTTTGAGCAGCGAGAACAAACATTTGCTGCAAGATTTGTTATAAATTTAGTTGGCATCCCAAAAGTCTCAGCCATTTAGTTTTTAATTTAGTATACTTAAAACTAACCTAAACATTCACGTATGTTTGCATTTGTTTCAAGGTTACTACTGGCTTGTGATAGACCAGGCTTGATACTCTTTTGGGTCTGCTTGTGCAAGGGAAGTAGGGCTGAGCTGGAGCTGGAGAGGCTGGGGATCCTCTTGAGGACACACAGGAGCTATTTTTCTAATGTGCATGGTGCACACCAGCACTGCTGTGGAAATGGGTGCGTGGGATAACCCTGGTGGGCAGCAGAGCTCCATGTGGCTCCTCACTCATGGCCCCCACAAACCCCCAGTGAGCTGGGGGAAGAAGAAAAGCAAGAAAACTTGGGAGTAAAGATAAAATAAACACCAAAAATTTGTTTAGTAAGTGTGAGAAGAGAGAAGAAAACAAGTGATGCATAGATAGTCACTCACAATCTCCTGTGGAAAGACCATTGCCCAGCCATTTCATGAGAAAAATATGTTAAAGCTCCTGAATCCCCTCTTCTGGGGGATGCCATTATTTGGTAGGGAATATCTCTGGTTAGTTCACATCATCTGCTTGTTTGTGTCCCCTTCCAGCTTGTTGCAACCTGCAGCCACAGAGTGAGAAATGCAGAAGATCTTGGTGTTGTGCAAACACCATTCACCACAATGTAGAACATTAGTGTGTAATCAGTACTGTCCTGGTCAAAAATCTAAAACACAGAACCATGTATAAGCTGCTAGAAAGAAAATTACCTTTATCCCAGCATACTTTCTTGCTTGGTGTATATGAACTGCAGGGGAGATTGAGATCAGCACTTAATATTTTTAAATAATTATGTCTTTATACTTTTGTTTTCCTTCAAAACCTGAAGGGGAAGATCTGGTGATTAGCTATCCAAAAAAGAAAACTAAACTGCCCCGTTGTTAATAGGCTTAAACTCCTAATCCCCATCTTCAACTGGTAAGTTCTATTTCTAAGAGTTCAGGATTCCCCCTGTTGTTTCTGAGGGTCTATAATCGTTGTATTTTAGAAAAATTATGTCTGTTCTGTGTTCTTATACTGAAGAATATCCTCTGCCAGAGAATTAAACAAAATATTTAGTGGAGGTGTTACTTTGATATCATATAGTGAATACTTTGTTTCATACAGCATTACATCCCCTGCTTCCAACCTGCAGATAATTTTTATGATATTGTCCCCATCAATATGGTTGGAAGGTCATTGATGTATACAGCAAAATATATGTCCCAAATTATTGCAAAAGCTGAGGAAGGGAAAGGGGGGTGCAATTTGTCTGTGGACTGACTGCACTCAAAAAAACTTTTTCAGGGGTTTTAAACTTGGAGGAGGGCTGGGTGAACTGGACGCAAGGGGGAATGGATTCCACATCTTGTGAGCCACCTCTGCAAAAGTGATCCTGGCAAAAAGTGGAATCACTCAAAGGTGGGTGGTGTGATGTTAGACAGCATTAGGGTGAGGCTTAGTTGAGGCAGGATTTATGCTAACTTTGGCTAATCTGCTAAAGTCAGCATTATGGGCTAGATCTTTGTTTATTGCAAGCAGGGTAAACCCACTGGAGTTGTGCAAAAGGATGTAACCCCGTTCTTTTTGGAGAAACTCTTCATCCTTATTGGGGTATTTTTTGAAAGGGAGGGTAGATAGCTGTTCTTCAGTAAGGAAATGTCAACTTGAAAAGCTAAAGCTATCAGAAGTAAAGAAAATTGAAACCAATTTACTTCACAGATTTCAAACAAATGCTTTCCATTCTTAAAAACGTATAAGCTTTACATGGCTATTTTTGAAATTGCAAGTGCTTCATGGTGGCGTTGATGGACAACAATTCTGTTCCAGGTTAACAGCTGGTGGAATAACCTGACTGAGGGTCAGCGGACTGTGACAGGTTTGTGTTAGCTTACAAGTATTAGACATTCACAGGAAGAGAAATATGGCAAACAGGTACAGTATATTTAAACAGATGGCTTTCATACCATGTTTAGGTTGTTGGGCACAAAGCATGTGTAAATTTACACCTGCACATACACTATTTCTGCTACCTTTCCTTCTCACAAACTATTTTTTGTGTGCCTTAAAAAAGTTCCTGTGCATCTGTGAGTGTGGAGGATTAAGTAAAATCCTCCCCCAGCAATATTTTGTGCACAAATTATGAAAAACAGCAAATGCTTTTAGAAAAATAGGTGGATATGTGCCACTGAAATGTGGGACTGAAAAATTCCATAGTAGTTACATATTTGCAGTATGCCATATGAAAAGTAGCAGAAAATTAGCATTTAGCCTTTTAGCTTTCCTTTAGTTACAATGTAGTTTTGATTGGTTAGCCTAATGCCAGCTGAAATCCCCGAGATAAATGTAATGTGTGAAACAAAATTAATGAGAACTTGATTTGAATTCAGTAGTTGAGCCCTATGTCCTGCTACATATTCTACATTAAGTATTTACTGAATCTGTATTAGCAGGTTAGTGTAAGGTTACTTAAATGCCATTTAACAGTTATTTTCACCTTTCATGTTTCCAGCTATTATAAAACATTTAAAATACCTAAATGCTTGGACAGAAACAGAGAAGGCACTTTAAACAAGAAATAATACATTTTCATTATATTTCCAATAATTTACACCCCTACTCAAAGTAAAGTAAGATAGCAATAACAGCTGTGAAGTAAAAAGCTGTGTGTTTGCTGTCTCCCAAAGGTCACTAACCCCTAGCAATGCCAATTCAACTTTACAATTTTCTTAAAACCAGAACTCCCCCCCCAGAAATGGACAGGATGTGTACTCTGTATTTGTATGGTTCCCCCAGTCTTCTCCTCTTGTGCACTTAAATGCAACTGTGCAGTAGATCGGTGGCATTTAGAAATAAACAGCAAGAGGGGCAG